GATTTTAAAAGACTTGATTCCACAGTAGCTGAGTCATAATCCTCAGAATTCTGGCTTTTCTTTCTGCACTGAGGATTTCAGCTCCATCAGAAAAAAAAATTGCCCCACAAGCAACAAAATCTTGGCTACGCGCCTGCAAGTAAGTAACTAAGAGAAGGGGAGGGGGAGGAGAGAGAGAGAGAGAGAGTGAGATTGAAAGGGGGAGAGAGGAGTAGAGATGTAAAATTTTTGAAGCTCGGAAAAAACCCCGTAAAAATTGAAAACAATGCTACATTAGAACTTCTTTTGTCTTTTCTAGATTGAAAGTCATTCTTTTACTTTAGGAACATAAAATATGACTATGGACATTTTTACTTGGCATGAAATTATCACAACTAGCATATTAAAAATATAGTGTATCCAAACATTATTACAAACAGAATACCCACCCACATGCAAAAACAAAACTGAAACCTTTTTCTTTTCTCATGACAATCGCACCTCCTAAAGGAAGAAATGCATCTTGTTCTTGCATTGGAGAGTTCAGTTTGTAACCTAGGACTTGCTTGTCCTCAGTGCTCTTCTCAGCCTGCTATTGTCACACTCTGGAGCTAAGATCTGCAGAAGACTCTATGATGTGATTTTAAAAGACTTGATTCCACAGTAGCTGAGTCATAATCCTCAGAATTCTGGCTTTTCTTTCTGCACTGAGGATTTCAGCTCCATCAGGAAAAAAAATTGCCCCACAAGCCACAAAATCTTGGCTACGCGCCTGCAAGTAAGTAACTAAGAGAAGGGGAGGGGGAGGAGAGAGAGAGAGAGAGAGAAAGAGAAAGGGGGAGAGAGGAGAGGACAAGATGGGGGAACAGGACGGCCACTCCTGCAAGTTCCTTGTGTGTTCCCTCTTGTCAAGTTGGACTAGATGACCGTGGAGGTCCCTTCCAACTCTATGGTTCTATGATTCTATACATAATAGTGTATGTGAATCTGATTCTAAAAGCAAAAGGGGGGGAATACAATTGAGGGAAGCTGAGCCTCACTGCAGCCATCACTTTGAAACTTCTTGCACCCCTTTCCCCCCCATCAAAGGATCAGTCCTCTCTTGGCTGAGCTGCTATCAGAGCTTGGCTGGGAGAAAAGCGTCTCAGAAGACAGGCTCTGAAGAGAACTAGGAACAGGGGAGAATCAGACCCTGCCCTTCACTACCCGAAGGAGTCTCAGAGCGGCTTAGAATCTCCTTTCCCTTCCCCTCCCCACAACAGACACCCTGTGAGGTAGGTGGGGCTGAGAGAGCTCTCTCGAGAACTGCCCTTGAGAGAACAGCTCTGACAGAACTATGGCGTGCCCAAGGTCATCCAGCAGCTGCAAGTGGAGGAGTGGGGAATCAAACCCGGTTCTCCCAGATTCGAGTCCGTGTGACTAACCACTACACGAAACGGACAGCTGAAAGAGCTGTCAAGTTTAAGCCAACTTACGACCCTGGTCTTCCTTGGCGGTCTCCCATCCAAACAGTAGCCGGGACCAGGGGTCATTTCCTGCGGGAGCGCACAGGAGCGGAGCTCCGGCAGTAAGGAGCCCAGGGGGTGGGCACATGCAACAAGCCCCGTCCCCTGCTCCCAGCAGCCCTCAGTTGGGCCACGAGGAGCAAGAAGCAGCCAAGTAAGTTGCAGAGCCCTCCCTGGCCCGCCTTCATGTACAAGCTCTCCCTCCTCTGCGAGGGCAGATCTGCGTGTTCCCCCCCTCCCCAATGGCTAGCAATCCAAAACAGTCCAGTGGCACCTTTATGACCAGGTTTTATTCAGGTACAAGCTCTCCCTCCTCTGCGAGGACAGATCTGTACGTTCCCCCCCTCCCCCCCCAATAGCTAGCAATCCAAAACAGTCCAGTGGCACCTTTAAGACCAAGTTTTAT